AAGGTGATAAACTTTGTCACCTCAAGGTGATAAACTTCTACAGGCAGCGAAACGTTGTTCCACTGAAGGCTTTTCAGCTTTTTTCTCGAAGAGTGATTCATTCAACGTGCTGACTCATTACCACAGACAAGTGATCAGGGGGCGGCTCACAGCGTCCAGCAGCGCTCTGAGAGGCGGCTCACAGCGTCCAGCAGCGCTCTGAGAGGCGGCTCACAGCGTCCAGCAGCGCTCTGAGAGGCGGCTCACAGCGTCCAGCAGCGCTCTGAGAGGCGGCTCACAGCGTCCAGCAGCGCTCTGAGAGGCGGCTCACAGCGTCCAGCAGCGCTCTGAGAGGCGGCTCACAGCGTCCAGCAGCGCTCTGAGAGGCGGCTCACAGCGTCCAGCAGCGCTCTGAGAGGCGGCTCACAGCGTCCAGCAGCGCTCTGAGAGGCGGCTCACAGCGTCCAGCAGCGCTCTGAGAGGCGGCTCACAGCGTCCAGCAGCGCTCTGAGAGGCGGCTCACAGCGTCCAGCAGCGCTCTGAGAGGCGGCTCACAGCGTCCAGCAGCGCTCTGAGAGGCGGCTCACAGCGTCCAGCAGCGCTCTGAGAGGCGGCTCACAGCGTCCAGCAGCGCTCTCAGAGGCGGCTCACAGCGTCCAGCAGCGCTCTCAGAGGCGGCTCACAGCGTCCAGCAGCGCTCTGAGAGGCGGCTCACAGCGTCCAGCAGCGCTCTGAGAGGCGGCTCACAGCGTCCAGCAGCGCTCTGAGAGGCGGCTCACAGCGTCCAGCAGCGCTCTGAGAGGCGGCTCACAGCGTTCAGCAGCGCTGAGAGGCAGCTCACAGCGTCCAGCAGCGCTCTGAGAGGCGGCTCACAGCGTCCAGCAGCGCTGAGAGGCACCTCACAGCGTCCAGCAGCGCTCTGAGAGGCGGCTCACAGCGTCCAGCAGCGCTGAGAGGCAGCTCACAGCGTCCAGCAGCGCTCTGAGAGGCGGCTCACAGCGTCCAGCAGCGCTGAGAGGCAGCTCACAGCGTCCAGCAGCGCTCTGAGAGGCGGCTCACAGCGTCCAGCAGCGCTGAGAGGCAGCTCACAGCGTCCAGCAGCGCTCCGAGAGGCGGCTCACAGCGTTCAGCAGCGCTGAGAGGCAGCTCACAGCGTCCAGCAGCGCTCTGAGAGGCGGCTCACAGCGTCCAGCAGCGCTGAGAGGCAGCTCACAGCGTCCAGCAGCGCTCTGAGAGGCGGCTCACAGCGTCCAGCAGCGCTCTGAGAGGCGGCTCACAGCGTCCAGCAGCGCTCTGAGAGGCGGCTCACTGCGTCCAGCAGCGCTCTGAGAGGCGGCTCACAGCGTCCAGCACCGCTCTGAGAGGCGGCTCACAGCGTCCAGCAGCGCTCTGAGAGGCGGCTCACAGCGTCCAGCAGCGCTCTGAGAGGCGGCTCACAGCGTCCAGCAGCGCTCTGAGAGGCGGCTCACAGCGTCCAGCAGCGCTCTGAGAGGCGGCTCACAGTGTCCAGCAGCGCTCTGAGAGGCGGCTCACAGCGTCCAGCAGCGCTCTGAGAGGCGGCTCACAGCGTTCAGCAGCGCTGAGAGGCAGCTCACAGCGTCCAGCAGCGCTCTGAGAGGCGGCTCACAGCGTCCAGCAGCGCTGAGAGGCACCTCACAGCGTCCAGCAGCGCTCTGAGAGGCGGCTCACAGCGTCCAGCAGCGCTGAGAGGCAGCTCACAGCGTCCAGCAGCGCTCTGAGAGGCGGCTCACAGCGTCCAGCAGCGCTGAGAGGCAGCTCACAGCGTCCAGCAGCGCTCTGAGAGGCGGCTCACAGCGTCCAGCAGCGCTGAGAGGCAGCTCACAGCGTCCAGCAGCGCTCCGAGAGGCGGCTCACAGCGTTCAGCAGCGCTGAGAGGCAGCTCACAGCGTCCAGCAGCGCTCTGAGAGGCGGCTCACAGTTTCCAGCAGCGCTGAGAGGCAGCTCACAGCGTCCAGCAGCGCTCTGAGAGGCGGCTCACAGCGTCCAGCAGCGCTCTGAGAGGCGGCTCACAGCGTCCAGCAGCGCTCTGAGAGGCGGCTCACTGCGTCCAGCAGCGCTCTGAGAGGCGGCTCACAGCGTCCAGCACCGCTCTGAGAGGCGGCTCACAGCGTCCAGCAGCGCTCTGAGAGGCGGCTCACAGCGTCCAGCAGCGCTCTGAGAGGCGGCTCACAGCGTCCAGCAGCGCTCTGAGAGGCGGCTCACAGCGTCCAGCAGCGCTCTGAGAGGCGGCTCACAGTGTCCAGCAGCGCTCTGAGAGGCGGCTCACAGCGTCCAGCAGCGCTCTGAGAGGCGGCTCACAGCGTCCAGCACCGCTCTGAGAGGCGGCTCACAGCGTCCAGCAGCGCTCTGAGAGGAGGCTCACAGCGTCCAGCAGCGCTCTGAGAGGCGGCTCACAGCGTCCAGCAGCGCTCTGAGAGGCGGCTCACTGCGTCCAGCAGCGCTCTGAGAGGCGGCTCACAGCGTCCAGCAGCGCTCTGAGAGGCGGCTCACAGCGTCCAGCAGCGCTCTGAGAGGCGGCTCACAGCGTCCAGCAGCGCTCTGAGAGGCGGCTCACAGCGTCCAGCAGCGCTCTGAGAGGCGGCTCACAGCGTCCAGCAGCGCTGATAGGCGGCTCACAGCGTCCAGCAGCGCTCTGAGAGGCGGCTCACAGTGTCCAACAGCGCTCTGAGAGGCGGCTCACAGCGCCCAGCAGCGCTCTGAGAGGCGGCTCACAATGTCCAACAGCGCTGTGAGAGGTGGCTCACAGCGCCCAGCAGCGCTCTGAGAGGCGGCTCACAGCGTCCAGCAGCGCTCTGAGAGGCGGCTCACAGCGTCCAGCAGCGCTCTGAGAGGCGGCTCACACCGTCCAGCAGCGCTCTGAGAGGCGGCTCACACCGTCCAGCAGCGCTCTGAGAGGCGGCTCACACCGTCCAGCAGCGCTCTGAGAGGCGGCTCACAGCGCCCAGCAGCGCTCTGAGAGGCGGCTCACAGCGCCCAGCAGCGCTCTGAGAGGCGGCTCACACCGTCCAGCAGCGCTCTGAGAGGCGGCTCACAGCGCCCAGCAGCGCTCTGAGAGGCGGCTCACAGCGCCCAGCAGCGCTCTGAGAAGCACAACTCACATGGAAGGAAATTCAAAACTCCCGAGATATTATCTCCACTACGACTTTCAACACTAGTCACCCTGTGAGTGAACGTACCAAGATAGTATTGCGTAAGATACATTATAAATTTAAAATGGCTTTGGGTGGTTAGATTATACAGCGAGTTTAGCAATAAATACAACACACAAGAACACCAAAGTTAAAAAAACACTATTATGACTAAAACACAAAACCTATAACATTAAGTCATAACTTTCAACATTTGAAACGTCAAAACACTCTCCTAAAAGTTCCCCGAGATACCTAAAATTACCCGGTTAATTATATCATTACGAAAACGAGAAGAATAAGCCGTCCGTAAACAGCGGGGAAGACACCTGAGAACAGGTGACTTCATGTGACATGGACGTGCCCGATCCTCAGTCGACAGAGATTAGTCACAAAGTGACGATTCCTATTGGAGGAGGAAGGCCAAGCACCCACGTCCTGCTTAACCTTGCATTACCTACTTCTCACCCGAGGACTCCATCGGGTCAGTACCACTCATCCTGTTAGTGAACATAACGACCTTTAGACAGTATTAGGCAGTACCATTCATCCTGTTAATGAACTTACCACTATAATAATTCGGCAGCATCAAGTACTGCAAGTGAACATAACGCCAACAAAACGAAACAGTACAACGGAAATAGACACGACATCAATGGCCACATCACCACCTTGATAAACAATCATTATGTAATTGTAGCAAGTCCCGCTACGAAATATAGTTACAAGGCACCTATATAGTTTATATTAGTGGTATATTCCTGTGCTCTACTGCATTACAGTACAAATGGAGTGTTTTTACCTTCCATTCCATACATGTTATGCCATTCCTCCCTCGTTGCTGCACCAGTCTGCCACAAGCACAAGTAACCTTAATAAATCCTGGCATCTACCGTCTCTACTCTTGTATTTCCACTTTTCCATAAACATTTGTTTCAACAAATTCAAAACTTTTGTAATGTTGTTCATAATGTTTCCTAACCCACCTTAATGAACTCGCAAAGTTGTAATTTTTTCCCCTAAAAATCTGCGACAAATTTTCACTTAAGATTCAGTGTTGATAATAGCAAAATATTCAGCGCCTCATTTCACTTGATATCGTTCGACTTTTTTTTCCATACTGGTTTTAATCACCTATACCATTACGTCACATTCCTCTGAAGGAATCATCTCCTTCCTACCATGCAATGGTTCGTTATCCACTTCACAATCAAGTCTAAAACAAATATATTTATCCTACCTTGGAACTGCTCCTTAAATACAATTTTAACCTCCCACTCAGAAACATTGTTTATATTTTATTAATTTACTGGGAAAACGTTACAACAAACTCACTTACTCTCGTATGTGCAATGCAGGATTAACTACTTTCAAAATTAATTTTTTTTTTCAGTGTTATTTTCTGAATTCTCATAATCTGATTCTGCACCTGCTCACACCCCTCAAGGAAGGTTCCTTGATGTTGGTGAGGGGCTCTTGATTTAGGGAATTGGATCTGTGCTCCAGTTCCCCGAATTAAGCCTGAATGCCTTCCACATCCCCCCCCCCAGGCGCTGTATAATCCTCCGGGTTTAGCGCTTCCCCCTTGATTATAATAATGCACCTGCTCACGTTTTTTTTTTATTAACGTTTTATATTTTTTAAGAGTTCAGGAGCAGCAATATCTATAACATTCCTGATGTATGAAGCTCTTTTTACCCTATGATCACACTCTTTGGAGCACGTCTTAAACCTGTCAATATATTGAACTATTTCGTCTATAATCTTATCGTCAATAACTGTTTTTATTTCATACATACTCACTCGGATACTTCCAGTGGGACAACGAGTCAATGACGCGCTTTTGTAAACACAAAGTGTATAGGACTTTACCTGGACTCTCTGAAGTGTGTCGCGGTGAGTCGGACTTTTACCTGACCTGCAATGGTAAGAAACAAGTGATTAAAATAGTCCACTTTAATACGGGAGAATTGTTGACAGAATTTTATATACATATTTCATATGTCATGGGTTCATCATTTTGAAACGTCCGGTATATTTGTATTTCATATTCTATTATATTTTCACGATGACAAATAAAAATGCCAGAACTTAAGAAAAATAAAATTATCTTTTGTATACGCAAGATTAATATTTTATTTATATCAAATAAACGTAGTTCTCGGAAAGAAAAATGTGCGTTTTTTTATTTTTAAATGATAAGAGGAAGTCTAGGAAACGTCGGGGAAAAATGACGTTTCGAGGGAAGAGGAAGTTTCTGGGGGAAGAGAGGAAGTTTCTGGGGGAAGAGAGGAAGTTTCTGGGGGGAAAAGAGGAAGTTTCTGGGGGAAGAGAGGAAGTTTCTGGGGAAGAGAGGAAGTTCTGGGGGAAGAGAGAAGTTTCTGGGGAAGAGAGGAAGTTTTCTGGGGAAGAGAGGAAGTTTCTGGGAAGAGAGGAAGTTTCTGGGAAGAGAGGAAGTTTCTGGGGAAGAGAGGAAGTTTTCTGGGAAGAGAGGAAGTTTTCTGGGGGAAGAGAGGAAGTTTCTGGGGAAGAGAAGAAAGTTAAGGAGGGAAGAAGTTAAGGCGGATGAGGAAGTTTTGGGGGAAGAGAAAGTTAAGGGGAGAGAGAAAGTTAAGGGGAGAGAGAAAGTTAAGGGGAGAGAGAAAGTTAAGGGGAGAGAGAAAGTTAAGGGGAGAGAGAAAGTTAAGGGGAAAGAGGAAGTTAAGGGGAAAGAGGAAGTTAAGGAGGAAGTTTCCTCTTCTCTCGAATAGTATAGTATTTTATAAGTAAAGTACTTGAGGAGTGTTTAGGTGCATCAAGAAGGCTGGAACCACCGATAAGTACGAAATTCTCACCGAGCCTCGGAATCACACCCGGGCCTATTAAGACTAGGTGGTCATGCATAGAACGACTAAGAGGCCAGGCCTAGAACGACTAGGAGGCCAGGCGTAGAACGACTAGGAGGTCAGGCCTAGAACGACTAGGAGGTCAGGCCCAGAACGACTAGGAAAGCCAGTGCGTTCAGCACTACCGTGCCGGAGCATCAAATTTCTCCCAGCTGGGTCTCTTTTTATACAGACAAGAAGGATTAGCATGGGCCGACCATCACGTTCGTTGAGGTGTATACAATCATGTTAAGATTTAGCGATTCAGTCATTGTGAACTAGCTAATGTCATCATCGTATAAATGCCTATGCAAAAAGGGGCATAAATCACAACAGGATGATTTGTTTGTGGTTCATGGAAAGCGCTAAACCCATCTACCTTATATTACTATTTCGTTTCCTTGAATTTGTGGTACACTGTTTATGAATCACAGAACAGGTGAGGATCGAACCCAGGGCAATTGTGTTATTACAGTTTCGCGAGTCACGATGGTGGCTTTCAAGGGACTTGAGCTAGAGCACGACACAGCAACGCTGGTGCGGGATTCGTTTGTAAAAACTTGCGTTTGTGGTCACAGTGGTGGCCCATGCTAACCTCCCTGTGGTGTATATTCAAATTGGATGAATCCTATTGTAGCCACCTGGTCCAGTGGTTATCGCACTGGTCCCGGAATTTTAGGACTGCCCTGCGGTGGGTTAGAGCCCCACCCGTTCTGGGATTCGTTTACAGTCGCGTTATTACGATTTCGTGAGAGACACTATTTATATCTGGGAGGAAGCGAAAAACTCAGGGGTCACATAGTGCCTGGGGTAATCTGAGGCAAACAGGCTCGACCCCAGGAAGGACAGTATAGGTCGCCAGGTTTTCGGGAGAGATATATTAAAAAATAAAAATACATTAAACTCGTTTTGGTCACTCAGCGTTTATTTCCCCCTCTGATACCTTATGCTGCAAACTAGTTCATTCTACGTTGATTATTATTATGGGGGAGCGCTAAACCCGTAGGGATAATACAGGGCTTGAGGGACTACTCTACGTCGAGTCATAAAACTTACCTTATGATCATTCACTTCTCTCTTCCTCCTCTTTTTTTCCGCCTCAACTTTTCAACGTTTTTTTTTTCTCTCGACATGCAACACATTCCACAGCATGTGTCATTACACTTGCTGTGTTGCGCTTGAACACTGCGGGATACACCAGGGACACTAAGGCTGTGTATCACTATTCAAGAAAAACCTGAATGAGGATTACACCTCTTGGTGTATAAACACACATATATCCACCACTTTGTGTATATATACCCTGTATATACACTGAGTATATATCCTGTATATACATTATATACCCTGTATACGCAATATATACCCAGATATACACTATATATCCTGTATATATACAGCGTACTTACCCCGTGTATACACTGTATATCTGTGTATATTGGTGTCAACAGTCCGCTACTCTCCGCAATCCGCGCTTTAGACAACAACTCTGGTATAAATGACGCTGAGAGACCCAGTTGAGTCTTAAAGACTCACTTCCAGCGTACCAGATCAACCCGTGAGTGAACCCACCATTCATCCGAAACATTTCTGAATTCGATTTATCGTTCTTGGAACAGGTTTCTTTGCCTGGTTTTGAAGCCTATCGACTGAAATAAGACTGCATATCGCTAGTATACCACTAGTCAAGAATTCTTTGATCCCTTATTTTTTTAATGAAGTAAACTCTCCGTGTATGCATAGCAAGGCGTGGCTAAGCCATGGCTCACTGCGGCTCGTTTACTCACTCATGGCTGTTGTTTCACTGAGTCACTTAAAATGAGAAAGCGAGTTGAGTAATGCTCGCGAGCATCGGGTGGGTCGCGTGCGGCATTACATAGACTCTGATGATCTTTACAGTCGCTCCTTAGTATGAAGAGTATTTTCGTTACCTGAAAATACAGCGTATGTTACGGTGATATATGCGTTTATATGTCCTTGTGTCGTATTCTCACGCTGGCCAACGATCTTCCTCGGTCATTGGCTGGCGGTCGGTTGTTCCCGAAAGGTGATTTTTTACCGGAGTGACTGTGAGGGGTCTTTGATGTGTTTTTTTGGGCTGTGTTTCACGTTATGTATGGGAGACTAGTGCGCCTCAAAATCCAAAGAAGTGTTCTATTTTGGAATTGGTAAATGTGGAGGTGAGGGTTCCCCAGCCTTTGTTGTGGCTTGGATTGTGTGGTGAACTCCATCACTGTGGTCGGCTTAACCTTTAGAAGTATGTCGAGATCCACGACTGGACGTGGAACCTTTTGCTACCGGGATGCAGACATGGCTCGGTATTTTACAGGCTGTGCATACGACGATGCCACAGGGTATCCTGATTTACTTTGGTATTGGGAATCTTTACTGAGAAATGAAAACCGACAAGACGAAGAATGAGACGCTTGTTGAACATTTGGGAATCTCAATGAAGATTCCCAAATATTGCAAGTGTCTCATTCTTCAACTTTGGTGTTCTCTCAGGTGATATACGTCAGTAGTTGCTTCCGGGGCCGCTGGAGATGTTTCGTCCGTTGAACATGTTCATATATCGGTACGTGCGGGGGAGTTCTCTTTGCGAACATTTATCGCACAAGATGTCTCCTCCGCTTGACTGGGGTGGCCTTGGTTGGTGGACCTGAGGGTTGAATTGGATTTTTTTTTGTCAAGAGACTCGTGGTAGGTTATGCCCCATTTTGCAAGGGGCGCTTGAATGGTCAGTTTAAGTTTGTAAGTCAGTCTTTATCTCCGCCACGGCGTTCACTTATTTTCGCCGTGTACATGATTCTGCCCACCATGAAGGCCCATTGACTCGGCTAATGTGTCTCAGGATGTGTACACTCTTCCTGCTGTTTCGGTGGTCAGTAGTTTAGGAAACCTGAGACTGTGCTGCAGAATGGGGAGACAATGAACCTGAGCAACGAAACTTGCTGTTGTGTGGAGGATCCTGGATGACAATTACTACTCTTATTCTGTCAGTTTTGCGGAGATTGTGAGCAGGTCCAGGGATAACTGTTCTGACTCTCTTTTCTTAGTAATCGATAGCAGCAAAGTATGTACAAACAACACATTTACTAATGTATGTTTACAGTCATTAAAGTGAGTTTTAAAGATTGAAAAGGAAAATAGTGAACGCCTGGAAAGCGTTTTGAAAACGGAAGAGGAAGTTGGTCAGCAGCTAGAAAGGCCCTTGATCGAAGTATAGTATTATTTTCAACATGACGAAGACTAAATTCAGTTGCTGGAAAAAATGCGATGGAGCGCTGTTAAAGCCGTGGCAGTATCCTGACCACAATGCAACACCAATTGTCCTAGAGCGGACGTGAGGAATATTGGCAGTAAAGAACAACGAATTGGATGATTTGATGGAAACTGAGGAGTTTTTTCAACAAGTAGGAAAGCAAATTTATCTACTGGAAAACACGATGGAGCGCTGTGAAAGCCGAGGCATTATCGTGACTAAGGTGCAACATGATCTGTCTGAGTGTTGACTTGAGGAGCATGTCAAATAAGAAAAAGGAATATTGAATTCAATAATGACTTGATAGACCTTAAAGCCGCCGTAATGGATCTATTAGGAGAAGCTCAATCAGTTAACGATCAATTACAGGTGAAGGATAATGATTACAATGCCCTCGCTGCTGCCCTCGTTCACCTGGATAATTGTTGGTACGTTGTTGTGGGGAAAACACGCAGCGTGTGTCGACCACATGAAACACGCAGCGTGTGTCGACCACATGAAACACGCAGCGTGTGTCGACCACATGAAACACGCAGCGTGTGTCGACCATATGAAACACGCAGCGTGTGTCGACCACATGAAACACGCAGCGTGTGTCGACCATATGAAACACGCAGCGTGTGTCGACCACATGAAACACGCAGCGTGTGTCGACCACATGAAACACGCAGCGTGTGTCGACCAAACGAACACATGTCGACACCAGCTTGTGAGTGCCGAGCAGCTGGCTGCCAAGAAGCGCCCCAAGACTTGAGTTGAAGAACGATAGAAACTTAATGCAGCATAGATGTTGGAAGACAATAAGGAATTTTGGTAAAAACAGCATCATGAAGAGTCTCTCGGTAGAGAGAGTGGGACCGATGTGAGAGACCAGTAGACCCCGGCGATCCAAGTGGATCTCGTGTCAGTCACAAGCGGATCCCACGGGAGAGACCAAGAGGAATTCGAGCGAGAAACGAGAGCACTCCACACGAGACACTAAATTATCCTCGAGTGACAGAAGAGTTTAGCCTGTGTGAGTGGGCAGCCTTGTGAAAGACCTCTGAACTCAAATGAGAGGTGAATTATCTCCCAGTACAGACATTATGTCCCAGTGGAGATTTATCGGTCTCTCAGTGGCTACCTGGCGTTCTCACATTGATAATAATTTATGATCAGTGCACCGCGTCTGATTTTTTTTTTTTAATTTGGACTGGCTGAACCCGGAAGATTCATTTATTACTCGAGATTTTTTTTGGTTCGCTTTTGTCTTTCGGTTAAAGATTTTATTGCCTATATATATATATATATATATATATATATATATATATATATATATATATATATATATATAATATATATATATAATATATATATAGGGAGGTACCACCTCTAGAATGTATAGGGACCTATCTCAGAGAAAAGAATAAACTTGCTTCAGGGAAAACTCAAGATTCTCCTGAAGCTGTTTGAGAATTTTTCCTACACCCCCTATATTATATATATATATTTTATTTAAAGACAAATACATTGACAAAACATTCAGAAAAATATGATATATATATATATATTATATATATAATATATATATTATATATATATATATATTATATATATATATATATATATATATATATATATAATGTCATTAAAAAAGACATGCAATTAACATGACATATTTTTTATAATTAGGTATCCCTGAAGGGATACCTGGAAGAGGCTGCCTGAAATCTTTCTTTTTCTTTTTTTTTCTGCTTCCTCCTATTTCTTCTTATTTCCTCCTTTGCTGGACGCAAAGACACTTCCTCCGAACGTATTTGCTTGAACTTTCTCTTTCGTGCCACATTGCAAGATCTTGATGCGTTGATTGCAATATGAAAGGCCTAGAGCTATCATTCAACTACCCCCTTGTATTTTTGCACACACACAATATATATATATATATATATATATATATATATATATATATATATATATATATATATATATATATATATATATATATATTTATATTTGTGTGTGTGTGTGTGTGTGTGTGTGTGTGTGTGTGTGTGTGTGTGTTGTGTGTGTGTGTGTGTGTGTGTGTGTGTGTGTGTGTGTTTGCCAAATAGGTAAAACTTGCTATTTTGGCTTAAATAGCAACCCTCTTCTTTCCGAATAAGGCAAGCAAAAATATGTATATGCAATAATTTTGCAAAAATCATTCTGAACCTAACGAAAAAATATATATTTCATTGCGTTTGTTTATTATTAAATTATTGCAAAATTATCTAAAATATATTTAGTTGGATTAGGCTAAATTAAATTGCGCTTGTTATTATAAGGTTAGGTAAGTTTTCTAAGGTTCTTTGGTACAAAATTATTAATTTTTACAGTGACATAAATTCAAGAAAATATATCTTTAAAGTCGGTACCGGATTAGCCGGGCTGTGGTTCGTACGTTGGACTACATGCGGCTAGCAGTAACAACCTGGTTGATCAAGCTCTGATCCACCGGGAGGCCTGGTCGTGGACCGGGCCGCGGGGGCGTTGATCCCCGGAATACCCTCCAGGTAGACTCCAGGTGTAAGAGAAAATTTTAGAAAGGACTTAATTTTAAATGAGTTCTTGCTAACTGACCAGTGTTACCTATTCGGCACGATATTATTATATATATATATATATATATATATTTATATATATATATATATATATATATATATATATATATATATATATATATATATATATATATATAACAAAGTTCCCTTAATATATAAGCTTTTCCAAACAATCGAAACGTTGGCATTATTTACAAAGCTTTTTAAAGCGACTCATTCCAATTTTTCAACCTTCCGCCGCCCGTCGCCGCCGCCTCCTCCACCTCCTCCGCCTCCTCCTCCTCCTCCCTCTCCTCCTCCTCCTCCTCCTCCTCCTCCTCCTCCTCCCGCCGCCACAGCTGAGATGGAAAAAAACACTAAGAAGCTTGAGTGCAAGAATATTCTGGTTCTCTCAGGTTAAATCAACACTGAGAGGGCGCACCTTGCAGGAGAACTGTGTTGCAGCTTGCATTAGCCGGAGTTCCACGCTTTGATAACATTACCCATTCAGCAGGTTGCCGTAATTAGCGGCTGCTTTAACGCTAACGCGCCACTAAACCTGTGTATGGCAAGGCAGGTGCGAGTAAATCATCCGCTCGCTCGTGGTTTCTGGATGTCACTGATTGTTTTCCAGTGTCCAGTCTGCGCGAGCAGGTGTCGCCCATGTTCTTTACTGATGATCTGGATTG